TCCAGATCCATGAAGCGATCCTGGCTGGCGTCGGGAACGAGGTCGTGAAGGACCACCAGCCGCACACTGCATGTCTCGTAGCTTGGTTGCGGCTGGATCTCCTCGTCCTCCTCCATCTCGCCTCGTGCGCTCGCTGGCTCTTGTGCGTCGGGCTCTTATGCTTGGATGAATTGCTTGACGTGTGTGTGTGTTGCAGGTCTGGTCGGTCTCGTGAAGACAGAAAAGTACAAGAATCGACCCGAGACCTATGGCTCTAAAGAACAACAGAAAAGAGTGGCTCAATCCAGCCCAAAGTAGTAAAGATCCAGCTTCACACAAAATCGCTCCCCACTGCGATCGCCCCGCCATTGAGCCAAAACGGTTGTAAATATCATCTGTAATCACCCCTGAAAAGTGCGCGGTCCGACACCGACTGGACACGTCGGAAATCGAGCTCGGCGAGGGCGACCGGCGTTGTGGCGTTCTTCTAGGGGTCAAAACAGTGTTTCTGTCCTGCGCGCTTCCTCGCCGTAATAGTACGCGATGCACCCTAGGCAGTCAGTGTGCTCGATCTCGAAAATGCGGGGGGTGCAAAGTTGAGCAAAGATTATGATGCTCTGCTGCACTTGTCCTGGAAGAACGCTTGTGGCGCCGTTTTGCGGTGGCCTCGAGGCCATTTTTATTTTTCAATTTTCTGAGAAAACCGATCAAACAAAACAAGCGAAAATCAACAAGCAAAGCTGTCAACCTGAATAATTTGGAAAGCAGAACCAGAAAAACAGAGTGAATCGAATGATGGTTGCTTGGGTGAATATTCCGAAAAGTAAAACCGAGCATCCTCTCGGAGGGTCCTTTTTACATGCAAGCGTTTTGAATTCACTCATCGCTAATCTCAGTCAATCTCGGTCATTTCTGAGTCATTCCTAAGCCATTTCCCAGTAATTTCTCAGTCATTTTCTCAGTCATTTTCTCAGTCACTCTCAGTCACTTTTTTTCTTCTTTTTTCTTTTCTCCGTTCAACAATCATGCCGAATCCGACTGATGACAACATTGCGACTCACATCCACTCGCTCGAGATGGAGCAGCAGGACGAGACGCGCACCAACCTGCACAACTTTGAGATTGAGCTGTCGCGCTCCAACACACCCGAGCCCTCTGCAGCAGCAGTCGCAGCAGCCGTAGTGGCCGCAACAGCCGCTCAGCAGCCAGCAGCAGCTCAGCACCACTCGACTGGCGTTGCTGCCCGCCGCCCGTCGACGGTGATGAGCTCGCCGCCAGAGCAGATCCACAGCATGGCAGGCCACCTCATTCTGCTCGCCGTGGACGACCAGCCACACTCAGAGTACGCCGCCGAGTACTGCTTCAAGAACGTCTACCGCGAGGGCGACATGGTTGCGTTCATGCACGTCTACCCGACCACCGCCTCCAAAGTCTCGACCTTCTGTAAAAAAAACAGCAAGCTTGCACACTCGATGTCGTCCTTCGTTGTAGTAGTGAAATGGGGAGTGTGAACGAGAGCGAGTGGAGTGAGAGAGGAGTGTGACGACGCAGTGCGAGTTCGTCTTGGCGGCAGTTTCAAAGCCAAGCTCCGAACAGCAATGATGAAGCGGGGGGGGGGGGGCGGGTTTGGGGAAAGAGGACATTGCATTACTAAACAAATGATGGAGTAGCTCGCCTTCACAATGATGGGAGAGGCAGCTTTGTTGAAGGTGAAGTGTGTGAAGCGTGAGTCAGATTTGCATTGATGAGAAACAAGGAAAAAAAAAAAAAAGAAAAAAAAAAAGAAAGGAAAGAAAAAAAAAGAAACGAAAGTGAGGTATTCTGCTGCAGTTCTGAGAACGACACGGGAGGATAAAGCAGAAGTGACACAGCGACTGAGAGACAGAGATAGACGGGTGGTGGTGGTGGTGGTGGTGGTGTTGGAGTGAGCGTAAATGCGGGGGGGGGGCTTTGGATGCTGATGGGAAAAGCATTTTTCGCTCTTGTTCTCTCTCCACTCACATCCAACGCGCTCTCTGCAGCGTACTTGAGCCCCGCCGAGTACAAGGCCCTCGAAGCCAAGCTCAAGGCAAACGCCGAGGCTGTGCTCAACAAGTTCGCCAAGATGGCCCAAGACCGCAACGTAAGTCCCACTCTGTTGTGGGAATGCATGGGAAACTTCTACTGTGGGACCCTTTTTTCGCACAGTTGGTCATCGATTTTGCACTCGTTGCCCACCTTCAAACACTGCGTCGTTGTTGCCAACAATGACTTTCAGTGATGTGTGGGGATTTTGCTTTCGCATGCATCTTGTGAAACTCGCTTGGCTTTGTGAAATTCTCACTTTCTTTTTGGGGTGTGGCAACCCAAATCCGCCTCCTCTCGCTGAACCAACTGCGCAGATTCGCTACAAGATCCAGTCCTTTGCTGGCGACCCACGCTACATTATCTGCGAAGCTGCCTCTCGCTTCCACGTCCGAGTGGTTTTGCTGGGCTCGCGCGGCTACGGCGCTCTCAAGAGGTGAGATGAACTGAGAGTATCGAAAAAAAAAAATAGTGGATTTGTACCATTTCCTTGCTCACCGCCACCCCTCGGATTCATTCTCGACAGCGTCCTCCTTGGCAGCGTCAGCGACTATGTCGTTCGCAACTGCTCATGCCCTGTGCTGATCTGCCGCCAACCTTCCACTGACGACAACGATCCCAACGCCGCCATCTGGAAGGAGAGCAAGCAGGCGTCCTCCATTGTCAAGCAGTCCCCGAGCAGTTAAAAGTTGTAATTCTTGTTTTGCATGCATGCTCTTAGCTTCTCTTGCAGAGACTTGCATTCGTTGCTGTGTGAATTGTGTGCCCAGTCAAAAAGAAATTTATTGTTGGACGGTTTTCGTTTCCCCCGTCCATGAACCACAAAAACAAAAACAAAAAAAGGCAAATATCCGAAAACCACACCCGTATGGTTTTCTTAACCAACACAACAAAAGCAAAAAACAAAGCAGACAAAACCATCAACAGCGCACTGGAGATCATGTGCTTGAACCATCCAGCAACGCTTGCCATCGTTGCCTATTTCGCAGCACAGCGCCCTCGACCTCGCTTGCCAGAGGGAGCGCTCGTGACAGGAACTGTTCGAAAGCACAAATGGCAATGGTGGTTGTGAAAAATCCGAGAACTTTTTTTTTTCAACTCGCCTACCTGCCCGATCCAAAAGCAAGAACAACCCACAACCTTCCTCACCTTGAACGCAGGCATGGCCACGTGGTCGATAAAGCCAAGCTGGAGCTTGGGCTTGTTTGCGGTCGTGCGGTCGTTGATCTCCATTGGCTTTTCGCCGCGGGCTCGCTCGAGGTCTCCTTGGGCGAAAAACTCTGCGTAGATGAGTTCCGCCACCAGCGAAGCCGACTCCCAGGGCTTTCCAGCGTCAGAAAGATCGCAAGCAGTCATGATGAGGCAGCAGATCAGGTGTGTTGCGTTGCTCTTCTCGGTCGGGGTGAGTTGGTCTGGAGCCGTGGTCTCGCGCTGGACAAGCATGGCTTCCGTGCGCTTTTGAATCGCAAAGTGAGACGCAAGGTCTGTCGCGAGAATGTTTCGTCGAATGCGGTCCAACACTTTGCGGTACTCGGAGCTCTCGACATTCGCGAGTAGATTGCATCCGTCGACTTGCAGAATGTACAATGTCTGTGCAAGGTGGTGTCGCTCGAGCACCGACCCCATTGAGCTGTACAAGGTCGCGAGCGATGAGCCTGCGAGTTTTTGGAAGCTGTCGGCAAGGAGTTTGGCAAAAAAAAAAAAACCGACCAAAAAGAAAAAAAAAAAGCGGCCAGTCAGTTTTCCCCACCAAAACGACAACAAAACCCAAAAGAAATGAACCCACTGTTGTTCTCCTTCTCTCTCTCCCCCTACTCACTTGTTGGTCGTGCCGCGATGGTCGACGTCATGTCCGAGGCACGAAATAAACAGCGCGGCAACCTCGTCCAATCCCACAGCTTCGAGCAGTCCCGCTTTCCGAGCTAATACATAGCAGAACTGCGCCACACTGAACGCGTGCATCCAGTTGTGGTACGGAACATCGCGATAGCCAAGCTGCAGGGTGAGCAGGAATTTAATGGCAGTCTCGCGTGGTGTGCGCCAGCGTTGAAGAATCTCCAAATCTTCCAACATGAAGACGCAGCACCGGATGGTTTGGTCAAGAGGCACTGCAAGGCGGCCCTGAAAGGAGAGCGTGGCGAATCCCGGGAACTTTGCATGCACATCGATGGTTGGCTCGGAAGTCAGCGCACTGAGTTGCTCGGGATTGATCTGGCGGTGGTAGGCCAGAATCTCGAGCGCCACTTTGGCGTGGTGCTCAGCTTTGACACGCTCCTCCATCATGAGCGACTGGTGCAAGGCGAGGCCCGCCAGCACGGCGAACGCAACACCGTCGGCCTCATCGGCCTTGGTAAAGCGAGGAGCCTTGTTCATGGCTTGGATGACGCCAATGACTTCCCCATTGTTGAAAACGGGGATGGTCAGCAAAGACGTCGTCACAAAGCCCGTGACGCCGTCGATATCCGAGTTGAACATTTCGTTCTTGTATGCGTTCTCGAGATTCAGCAGCTCTCCGGTTTGGTAGACGTGTGCAGCAATGCCGCGGTTGATGGGGAAGCGAATTTCGGTGGACGGTTGCGGATTGAGCGACGCGGGCAGCGCGGCCTGATCAGTGGTGGGCTGGGGCTCGGCGTTGAGGTCAAAGATTTTGGCGTACAGCTCGTTGCGTTCCTTGTCTACCAAAAAGAACGAGCAGCGGTCGGCACCTGTGAGCTCGCGCGTTTGCGCAACAATGCGCTTGAGCAAGTCGTCAATCTCGCCGGACGTGTCGAGCAGTTTTCGCGCGACTTCCAGGAGCAGGTCGCTCCGGCGCTTGGCGCGTATGCTATAAATGTGCGACAGGCCCAGCTCGAGGTGTCTTTGAATCATTGCTGGGAAGGCGTTGCTCGGCGAGTCCACCCACAGCTCGGCCGCGACCTGATCCTGGGACGGGTAGATTGCAACAAGCGCTGCTTCATTCTCCCGCAGCGGCAGCACGAGGAAGCACAGGGACTGCAATGCCGATGGGCTTGCAGCGTGCGCCACGTAGTCGTTCAGCAGCGCGGTGACTGTGGGGTGCGGCTGATTGCTCCACTGAGCAGATTCGCTCGACCGTGTGAATGTCTCAATGCGGCTTTGCTCGTGTCTGCCAGAACCACACACCCCCCGCCCGCCCGTGCGCGCGGCAAAAGGACAGCGTCGGTCAGTCAAACGAAATGCAGAAACAAAAGCAAAAAAAAAAAAGTTGTTTCAAAGTGAAGAATTGAACGAAGGGACGAAAGAGAGAAATGGATTAAAAACTAAAAAAACCGTTTTGAATTTTAGGGTGTGAAGCTTTTTTTTTTTTTTTTTTTTTTTTTTTTTTTTTTTTTTTTTTTTGGGGGGATGTCGAATTCGACAATGTATCAGCGAACGAGTTCTCACAAAGCAAGAGGAAGGGGAACGAGAAAGATGGGCGGACGGAAGTAAGCAATGGAACGGAAGGAAGGAAGGAAAAGAAGGATGATGAAGTGAGACAGAGTCGGAGAGGGAAGAAGTGAGTGCGCCAGTCGGAGGTTGGGTCAAAAAGAGCGCGCACGACAACGATGAGTGTGAATGTGAAATGATGAAACGAATGGTGAATTGGCCAATCATTACAACGGGGAGAGGGGAGGGGGAAGAAGGCTCCGGGACGGAGAGGGCGAGAATGAGGGATGAGAAACGCACCGAAGACCCTCCGCAATGGGAAGCCCAGCGACGGACGGGAAGAGCGCGACCTCGCTTGCAATGAACAGCCAGCAACGCACGACTGGCGCAGCCGTAGGAGCAGCGGCAGTCGTAGGAGCAGCAGCAGCAGATGAAACGGACAAGGACGAGGCTGGTTTTAAACGGGCCAACGCAGCGTCATACTCAATGTTGACCACTGCCTGGCCCATCGCAGTCGCATCTGCAATCGGCATGACTCAGAGTGAAAGACCGAACAAAGTGGAAAACGCGACTTCAATACAAAGCAACAAGTGAGAAAAAAGGACGAATGACAACAACATCAGTCCTGCTTTTTTTTGTTTGACCGTTATTGAGAAGTAGAGATGGACGAGCTGGCGGCGCAGCTTGGAAGCGCAGCAATGACAACGTAATGGAAACAAAACGCTGCCAAAGAAAAAAAAAGTTTCAATGCAAAGTTTCAATGCAAAGTTCAATGCAAAGTTCAATGCAAAGCTCAATGCACAGTTCAATGCAATTCGTGATTGAAACACACACACACAAAAAAGCCACAACAGCCTCAGGAAATCGGATTGTGTTTGACTTGTTAAACATAATAAAAACTCACTGAGGGTTGTTGTTTGTAGAGGATCATCGCGGACGACGCACGCGCGACAGGCGCAGTACAAGGCGGGAAGGCAGCCGGCAACACAAGCAGAGCGGCGCAAGAAGCTCCTCGACCGCCAGAAAGAGTTGAGTGCACTCTCCAGTCATTGCTGTGATTGAGTCAGGATGCGGGGTTGGGTGAAGGCTGGTGGGGGGGGGCGGTGGAAAGGAACTGACGTTTGGTCCTGGTTTTCTGTTTGCGTTTGATCAGGCGTCGCCACGAGCTGGTCGACTTTGCAAGGAGACTTGCATTCGACGAGTTGACAGAAGAGGACGAGCATGCCATCGTTGCGGAGAGCGAGTCTCAATCACCAGAGACCGGCGACGACAATGATGAGGACAACCACTACGACGACGACGACGAGCAGGACGAGGTCGACCCAGACCAGGACGCCCCACCGCGACGGCCGAAAGGCATGCGTCGATCTGTATGCACTGATGGCGCCAGTTATTGGTAGGAGTGCAGTGTCAGGCGGACTGAATTATCACTCATTCGACCTCCTGTGGTTCCTTTTTGTCATTTTGGTCAGGTGTATCGAAACCCGTACCGACACATGCTGATGCAGTCAGAATCCATGGAAGAGGTACCGGTTCCTGCGACTACTGAGCGTTGTTCCACAGCGCGACCCAAAAGGTCGATGGCACGCCCGAGTTACTCACTCTCTTTGCCCTTTTTGGCGCTGTGCGCTTGTAGGCCCCAGCAGATCTCGAAGGCACTTGGAACTTCTTATTCTGCCCGCTTGGACGAAGGTGCCTTGTGGTCTCGGTACGTTCCGCATCGCTGCCACGATCACGCCGTTTGTTGTTAGTGTTGTTGTTGTTTTCTTTTCGAAATTCCTTGTTTCGTCCTCATCCCACCTCCTTGGTGTTTTAGGCCAAGGGACAAACAACAATGCGTCTCCGGAACGGATATCCGCAGCAACGGTTTCCTTCGAATCTACCGGGTGGCAACCGCAAGTCTGACAGCAACTACAACTCGTCCAACTTTTGCATTTTGGACTGCATCTTCCACGAGGCAAGCAAAACCTTCTTTGTTTTGGACTTGATGTGCTGGCGAGGCGTCGACGTCTTCCAGACAGAGAGCGACTTTCGGTACTTTTGGCTGCAGTCCAAGCTGAGCGAGGAAGGTGCGCGATTGACCACACGGTCACCCGCTCATCCGTATGCGTTTGTTGCCGCTCCCCGTTACTCTTGCAACCGCGTCGAGATGGCGACGCTATTGGCCGGATTTGCAAGCGCACCCCCGTTCGACTTGGATGGTTTGTTGTTCTTCCACTCTGCAGGTCACTACACTGGCGGTTCCACGCCTCTCAGCCTCTGGCTCAAGCCGGAGATGGTTGGTCCGCGACTAGGCTTGGACATTCCCGGCTTTGACCAGGTCGCCATTGCCTCACAGCTCGCAGCACATCAGCGTGAGCTGCAAAAGGCCGCCTTCCTGCGAGAGCGAACCATCGTTATTCAGCAGCGTCAGCAACAGCAGCAGCAGCAACAATACCAGTCTGACAGTGGCTTTGACAACGCACCGTCTGACGACTCGTTCGACAATGGGCACAACATGGGGTCGGGCAACGCACACAATGGCAAGAAAAGCCGACGCAAAGGCAAGATGAACAAGTCGCAGCGAATGGAGCTACAACCTGGGCAAGTCCTGCCCCAACCTGGCAGCTTCTACATGCAAGGTGCATCGTGGGCGTCTCAGCCTCATCATCATCACAGCAACCAAGACGAATCCGCATTGCATGCCAGTAGCATCAGCAGCAGCTCTGCCGAACACATGCCATGAGCTTCCTTATCATCCCTCTAATAAATGCAACCAACACGTCGTTTTTATGCTCGAACTGATTTTGCACTTGATCCCGACGTGACGAGGTCAGTCATCAATCTTGTTTCAGTTGGTCGCGTTATGACAACGACCGTCCGACGACATGGATCATGATGACGACAAGCCCGAGTTCACTGAGCCGTCCCATCAACAGTACACATCCGCGTCTCCTGATGTGCGACTGGTGCATCGAGCCAGCCAGAAGCGACCGTCGACGCGCGGTTCCGGTTTGCAGACTGCGCGGCGGCAGATTGAAACGCATCCCCACACAGCCAGCAGCCGCAGCAGTACCACCAGTGCCGCCTCTGCTGACGATCTGGATGTAGATGTGAATGTAGATGAGGATGAGGATGCAGACTTGGATGGAGATGTGGACGGAGACGGGTGCTGGGACGCCGACACTGACGCTGTCGGAGTTGCACGACGCGACACGAAACGCCCGCGATTGGAGTCGTCGTCGCCGCCGCTCGCAGCCGCCCAAGCCGAGTCGACGCCAGATGTATCAAGCGCGCAGGATTCAATGCTGCTCAGCTCATCCGGCCGCGGGAATGATGGCGAGTCGCGCGAGATGACTGGTCGTGCAGCTGTTGGCGCCAACTCTGACAGCAACTCCGACGACGACGACGACCTAATTGACCTGACAATGGACTTGCAAGAAGCATCCGATCGTGCAGGCAATGTGGACAGCAGCGCTGACAACCGACGCGAGCTGATTGACCTCACAATGGACGTGCACGCATCGCGCAGCAGTTCATCTGTCTCAGACAATTCCGGCAATCGAGCCAAGCCAACGCAGTCCACCCCTCGTACTACAAGTCTTCAAGACGTGCAAGCATTCAACGGCATTCCAAACAGCCCAGCAGAGGCGACCGATCTCAGGACTGGTGCTGGAATCACCCCAGATCCTCGCGCCGCCGGAATCAAGCAGCACGTCTTGACACCGCGGCGCGGATTTATCGAATGCAATGCGATCGACATTGGCCCAATACGTCGCTCAAGTGCGGCGTTTACGATTCCAAATTCTCGCGCCAGCACGCCTCGGAACCTCGGACTCTCGTTTCACCTCGTTGCCAAGTTTGGATGGCAGCTCGGCATGCCTTGCTGTGGCCAGTCTACCAATCTCGGTAGTAGCGCCGGTAATTCCAGGAATGCACATGAGTCGGATCGATGGTTGTGTCGCCGGTGCTGCATCGCGCTCCACGCAAAGTGCTGCGGCACTCGCGCCCTGGACGTTTGTCCCATTTGTCAATGGCACTCTGCCCCAACTGGAGCTCTGGTCGGGCACTTTTCCCACGTCGGCTGCACGATTGCCTCTTCGTCCTTTCATGCGATGGTCAGTACCGTGGACACGGGGCTCTGCTACAGGGAAAATTACGCCGTTCTTGTCATTTATTCTCACCTTCTTTCTCTATTTGATTTGTTTTTTCTGCTGGGCTTTGTGTTGCCACTCGCCAACACCCAATGCTGTGCCGCATCTGCAGAGTAACTATTGGCAAACGCCGCTGGCGGTCGGTGCACGGGGAATCTTGATGAACCTCAAAGAAAAAGGCATGGGCCCACAGACCCGCATTTTTCGTTTGATTCTGACTGGTGCTTCCGTCGATGACGCCCATCCTGCCATCTACTGCGATTTGGATTTGTCTCCGACCGTTCTCGAGTCGTTGGCGCGGTACGAAGTGATCATCACGTTCCAAGTGTCTGCGATTCACAACAACGAGCCTTGCGCCAGTCCGGGCACAACTGCCGATGGCGTGCATGTTTCGCCCCTCACTGGCTTTGCTTGCACTCGCCTGTCATTGGACTGCCGCATGTATATGGTGCAGAGCATTGTTCCGGCGGAGCAGTTTTTTGAACTGTCTTTTTCGCGCTCCCTTGTGAACACGCTGCTTGAAGGCGTTCGCTCCTTTTACGGCGGCCGCACCTGGCAGCAGTTGCTTCAGGAGTGGTGCTCCATGCAGCGCCATCGTCCTGCCACTGACCATCTTTACGAGGCGCTTGCACAAGCTGCCCCAGCTGAGGCACTCTACCAGCTGCTCGACGCGCACATTCCCGAGCACATTCGCGGTCTGGCCATGCTCGAAGCTCATCTCGAGAGCATTTCCACGGGCGTGAAGGCACCCCAGTCGTTCACATCGAGTCGAATCGATGCCTTGCTGAAGCTGGTGAGCAGCCCCAGCCAACATCTCCCGAGAGCGTCCCAGCCTCCAGAAATTGCGTGCTCCATGATGCCCTATCAACTCGCGGGCCTCTCTTGGATGAGCGACGCCGAGTGCTTTGGCAAGAAGCGAGTCGATTCGTTCAGCCGCCACGACGACGATCCTGTGATTCTTCAAAAGCAACAGCTCGAAGCGAATCTGGCATTGGCGCCCGTGATGCCGCCGTTCACCTCTACAGACCAGGTTCCTTTTATTTTGCGCGCGCTCGACGCCCCTATGACGTACATGCTGGTCCCACCCTCGTATCTCATCGAAGGCATGACAACGGAGGCAGGGTCGCTCGATGAAGGCGACCAGACAACCACAACACGCGCCATCTATTTCAACATTGTCTCTGGTTCCATCAGTCTTTCGCCTCCTGCCCTTGTTCGGCCCTTTGGCGGCATTCTCGCGGATGAGATGGGATTAGGAAAGACGGTCGAGTTCCTTTCGCTCGTGGCTGCAACAAGGCCCAATCCCGACTTGTTCGAAACGTTTCCATTTGCCTTCGTCCAGGGTCGCGTGCCTCTGTCTCGCCTAAACCACCCACCATCCCTTTACATCAAGGGGGAGCTGCAGACGGACGCCGGTGAGCCCCTCTGCCGTGTCATTCGTCCCGTCCGCACGACCCTGATCATTGCACCCTCGCCAATTGTGGGCCAGTGGCAAAGCGAGATTCAGTATCACGCGCCTTCGTTGAGTGTGATGGTGTACGATGGACACACTACATTTTATCAGCATGACGAAACCCCCTTTGACGTGTTTTCCCGCTTTGACATTGTCGTTACCACCTACGACGTTGTTCGCAAAGACCGCCACCATGCGGCCGAGCCCGTGTACAAGCGTGGCGCGAATCGCCGAAATTCTCCGCTTGTGGATGTGTTTTGGTTTCGGCTCTGCTTGGACGAGGTGCAAATGATTGAAAACCCGACCGCCGCGGCCGCTGTGTGCGCAAGCATTCGTGCTCGCTACCGCTGGGGACTGTCTGGCACGCCGATTAGCTCGCACGGGTTTGATGACATTTTGGCGCTGTCCGTTTTTCTGCACTTCCACCCCTATTCGGACCGGCTCGTGTTCAACGCATTGGTTGCTGCGTTTGAAGTTGCTGATGCCGAGTTGCCGCGGGCTGTGCGCACCTCTTCCGCAATCACGAGTGGCGCAACCGCCTTTGGCGATGCGAATGACTGTTCTCCTATCGCTGCCCTGATTCGCCGGCGCAACCTGGAATCGATGAGAAGCAGCTTGTTGACATTTTTGCACCGACTCATGCTGCGACGGAGCAAACAAGATCTGGCGGATCAAGTCTCGCTCCCACCTCAGCACGAAGAGTACATTGTACTGACATTCAGTCCAGTGGAGGCGCACTTTTACCGCGAGCTGGAACTTCACTGCCGCAACCTGTTTGAGATGCTACGTTCGGGCGCTGGAGAGGCGTCCGCGTCGACGATGAGCGATCTGCGGAGCAGCATGGGCTTACTTCGAGCCGCGTGCTGTTACATTCAGGGTGGTGTCGTTCTTCCAGGAAAGCGCGCGCTGAGTGGAGCCCCAAAGTCAATGTTCGAGGCTACGGCGCTGCTGCTCAAGCAAACAGAGCTCGATCTGGCTGCCGCGGTGCGCGAGCAGGTCACGGCCCATATCGACCTGGGTGCAGCGCTCGAGTTTGCCAAGCTGCCCGAGGGTTCGCGATGCTTTGAACAAGCTCTTGAGCTGATCGAAACACTGGCTGCCCAGCATGCAGACGCTTGCGCCTTTGCCAAGCGCTGGATTCTGCCGAGCGACTATGAGGAGTATCTATCCTCTGTCGCAGACCAACCGGCCGCTGCGACGGCTGCAATGGCTGTCGATGCAGACGGCGAGCGCGCCGCCGGGTCCATTGATCCTGCAGCTGAGGAGAGAACGGCCGGGAACCAACCTTTGGACGAGTTTGCATCTGATGCGTCGTCGGACGACGAAAGCGCGAGCGACGTCACAGCGGAAGCTGCAAGCACCTCGAAAATGAGCAAGAAAGTAAAGAGGCTTCGGCGGTACGGCGATGACACGATGATTGGCAACTGGCGAGCCGTTGTGCGCGACACTATGCGAGCGCGTGAGAATCTACTACTTGGACATCGTGCCACTTTTCGCTTGGCAATGGCCGCGTCCCCAGACGATTCTGAAAAATTGTACGAAGATGCCGAGCAAAAGCGCAAGAGCCTTACCAAAACCGTCGAGACTGCGGTTTGTCAAGCGCGCAAGCAGCTCGACGAGTTCTTGCGGCGCTCCGCTCTCACAAGCATTCAAGTCTGCCTGATTGACTCGGAGCGACTGTCGGTTCAGAAGGAAGCGGCGCTTGTGGCATTTTTGCACGGCTCGCTGCTGGTCGACGATGGCCACTTAGCCAACGAGCGGAACGCCGACGACCCCGACAACGAAGTGACTCCGGATCCCGACGATGAAAACTACGTCTTTGTGATTCGCGGCTCGGAACGCATCCGTATTCTGAACAGCACAACCACACCCTACCTCCCTTTTCTCGTCGACGAGCTGTTGACTGCCGTCACCGACGTCGAACGCAACGCTATTCCAGCTCGACCCTCTGCGACGGCGTTTCAGCGCCTACTGGAGGCCGGCCCCGGAGATCAATCGCTCTCGGAGGCTTCCAGCAGGTTGATGACCCAGTTGTTTGCGCTCATGGATTCGCTCGACGCAAACATGGAGGAGATCTGGACTGCCCGCATGCACGTGCTCCGCGTCCTGACCACCCCGCTCCACTCAAACTACCAGCGCGACCTGGAAGCTCAGCAGTTTGGCCTGCATTGGCAAAAAGTGCTTGAGACGGCCGTGGCCAAACGCAGGCTTTTGCTCTTCAGCGCAGCTGACGAGTGGTCCAAGAAGAGCAAAACGCTAAATTTAGTGTCGCTCAACCAGCGCATCAAAAGCCAAAGCGAACAGGTCGCTTTCGCTGAGGCCGATCACCTTCTCAAAGTTCACAGTCTCGTTTCCATCCTGTCGGTTCGTCTCCAAAGCATTCTGTCCATGTTGGCCAGCGAACGGCATGGCATCAGCGAGGTGTGGAATGCACGCATCGCCTTTTACAAGCAATTGCAAGTCTTGTCTGATGCTGTCAGTCGTCCTGAGCGGCCCTTGAGCTGCCTGAGCTTTGTTCAGGAATGCCGGCGCAGGCTGGTAAGATTCGATTCAGTGGGGTTGAGCGTTGTTTCGACTTGTATTGTCTGCGACACGCTGACGTTCTTTCCCCCCCCCTTCCCGCACCCCGGTCGTCTTGGTTGAATTTGGTTGAATGATTTCTCGTCGTCAGGCTGGGCTGACCACTACAGCGGCGCAATTGACTGGCAAGGTGCAATATGTGCGGCAACTGGTTTGCAGCGCGTCTCCATTCCAGCCAGGCTCCGCTCTTGAGTCGGCTGCGGATGTTGAGGCCACGAAAGCTGCGCAAACGGCACAGACTTTGTCGGCCAGCAGCACGTCCGCACCACCAATGGCAGATCCTACCGAAGCCAGCAGCATCAGCATGAGCGTTGGCAATTCGCCCCTGACTGGTACTGGTATTGCAACCGTGCCTGTCGGCGCATCCCAGTCGGTTGGCGCCAAACGCGCGGAAGTTTGCCCGATTTGCATCGAAACTTCGACCGAACTGTGCATGACTCCTTGTGGCCATGTGTTTTGTGCTCCCTGCATTGCCGATTGGATGCGGCACCATCGGATCTGCCCGACGTGCAGGTCGCGGATTCAGTCCGACCAAATCAGCCACATGAACATGGGCATTGACGGCGCAACGGCCTTGCACAACTCAAAAATCCATCAGACCGGGCAGGACTTTTTGACCAACATGGACATGTTTGAGAAACGTTCGGTCAACGACGGAACGCGCACCATCATCCGACCTCCGGCCTATCTCCACGCTAGCATCCCGCTTGCCCGCAATTCGAGTACCAAGATTGATGCACTGATCCGCTATTTGATCGAGCTCGAGCGCCAAAATCCCGGCACAAAGAGTGTCGTGTTTAGTCAGTGGGGGCATGTCTTGTCGAGAGTTGGCGAGGCCCTACAGCTACAGGGAATTGGCTTTACCACCATCCAAACCGGCAAGGATGCGGCATCTCTCTTTCACTCCAACCCGAAGGTCACCGTGTTTCTGTTGCACTCCAGACACAAGTCCAGCGGCCTCACGCTCGTTGCAGCGACGCACGTGTTCTTGATGGATCCCATCATCAACCCCGCCGTGGAGTTGCAAGCGATCAATCGCGTGCATCGCATTGGCCAGACTGCCGAAACTCATGTTCATCGATTTATTGTTGAAAACACGATCGAGCAGCAGGTTTGTTCCAGTAGTTTCTTTTTTTTTTGTCGCAGTTTTGTTTTGCTGTGTTGTTGCTTTCGTTTTGTTGTTTGGCACTTTTTTTGGCTGACCCGATCAACTCAAACATCACGTTGCGACCACAGGTTCTTCGGTTGGCAGTTGGGCAAGATACAGCGCCCGGCATGCCGCGCAGCACTCGAAGCGATGATGAAACCATGTCGCTCCAGGACATTGGCATGCTGCTGAATGTTCAATAAGCGAAAGAAAGCGGGAGTGTGTGACTTGCATCTTTGTAAACATTCGAACAAATCATCCCCAACTCTTCAAGTGTCAAACGCTACAGGTGGACTGAAAGTATGGAATGGAAATGAAGCTTTTCTTGGTTTAGAAATCAATGCAATCAAAGAAAAACACAATACACCTACAGCACACCCATACACACATACACACACAACAATTTTTTGTTTGTTTGTTTGGTTTGGTTTGGATAAACCACTCCTACGAAATTAGAGCCGCTCACCGCTCACAGGGCATTGACCTTGGCAAAGACGTCACGAATGATGCCGACAGCCTTGGCAAGCTCTTCGTCGGAAATGACGAGCGGCGGGGCGAGGCGGATGATGTGGCCGTGGGTGGGCTTGGCAAGCAGACCGGCGTCCTTGAGCATCAAGGTAATGTCCCAGGCAGACACCTTGAACGTCTCGTCAATGACGATGGCATTCAGAAGGCCGCGACCACGGACAAGTTGGACCCACTTGTACTGCTCCTGGAGCTTGCTGAGCTCGGCGCGGAGGACGTTGCCCAGACGGAAGGAGCGCTCGGTGAGCTTCTCGTCACGCAGGACATCGAGCGCGGCCATGGCCACGCGGCATGCAAGGGCGTTGCCGCCGTAGGTCGAGCCGTGCTCGCCAGCGTGATGACGTCCATGTACTTGGCGTCGCAGAGGACGGCCGAGACGGGGAGCACGCCGCCAGACAGGGCCTTGCCGAGAATGAGAATGTCGGGGCGGACGCCGTCGTGGTCGCATGCAAGGAGGGTGCCCGTGCGGCCAAGACCGGTTTGGATTTCGTCGGCAATGAACAGGACGTTCGCGGCCTTGCAGATGGCGTAGGCCTCGCGCAAGTAGCCGTCGTCGGGGACGACAACACCGGCTTCACCCTGGATGGGCTCAATGTAAAAGCCGGCAGTGTTGGGGTCCTGGACGGCCTCGCGCAGCGCGTTGAGGTCGTTGTACGGGATGACCTGGAAGCCGGGCGTGTAGGGGCCAAAGTTGTCCTTGGTGGTGGGGTCGGTGGAGGTCGAGACGGCAGTGACCGTGCGGCCCCAGAAGTTGCCCGCGGCGAAAATGATCTTGGCCTGGTTGGGCGCGACCTTCTTGACCGTGTAGGCCCACTTGCGGCAAATCTTGACGGCCGTCTCGCCGCCCTCGACGCCAGTGTTCATGGGCAGGATCTTTTCATAGCCAAAGTACTCTGTCATGAACTTTGCGTAGATGCCGAGCTGGTCAGAGTGGAAGGCGCGCGAGGTCAGCGTGAGTCGCGACGCCTGGTCGACGAGCGCGGCAATGATGCGCGGGTGGCAGTGGCCCTGGTTGACGGCCGAGTACGCCGACAGAAAGTCAATGTACTGCTTGCCGTCGACGTCCCAGACGTTGACGCCCTGGCCGCGCGAGATGACCACGGGGACTGGGTGGTAGTTGTGCGCATTGTATGCGTCTTCCATCGCAATGTAATCCTTGGACTTGAGCTGCTGAACCATGGTTTTGATGAGGAAAAAAGAAAGGGGAGCTTGGAGGTGAAATGGGAGTTTGTGAAAGAGAGAGAGAAAAAAAAGGGAACTTTGGCTTGATGGCGATAAAGAAGCTTGGCGCTGTTTAACTGTTTTGGAGAGCAAGTAGAAGCAGGCAAAAGGAAGACAAACAAGTCAGCGAGGTTGATAGGAAAAGAAAAAAGAAAAAAAAAACCACCGCAAGAGTTATCGGAGGTTGGTAGGACGATAAGGGAGAGAGGAGGGGGAATCATACAGACACAAGAGCGAAACCCCCCCCCCTTCTCGCAACAAAGCAACAAAGGGAATAAGAAGAAGAAGCAAGTTGAAGTTGAATTCGCACAATAACAATGACAGTGACAATGAAAGGGAGAAAGAGAGAGCGCAAGAGTGGGCGGGAGTGAAACGCACCACAGTAACAACAAAATGAAACTGAACGACCAAAAAGACGACTGAGATGGATTGAATTATGAATGACAGCATCGTATTTCACGAGCTCACACAGTACGATCGAAGGCGCTTTTTTGTTTGGGGGGAAAGAGCAGGGATCAAAGCATCGGCGTTGCTGTGTTGTCTCAACGCGAGGCAGGGGACATTGACATCTTGCCGCCTGGCTGCAATGATCAAAGAGCGTTTACACACACACACATACACACACAGAGGGATTTGCCGAGACTTCCCCCCCCCCCCCGCGACCCAATGTTCAAAGTGCAAGTGCTGATCGTGACTGTGTTTGTGTTTTCACAATCGCGCCACATTCTATTCTTCCTCACTGCTTTTGCTCACTTCTTATTGCTCAATGCTTTGTTATTGATCGTTTTCACTTTTGACGCCATTGTGATTTTGTTTTTCTTCTTTCTATTTTGCTTTCTGCTGTTGAGGAAAATGACAATGACGGAAAGGGGAAAAAAACAACACTGTGACAAGGACGAAAAAAAAAAAAAAAAAAAAAAAAAAGGATGTATGAAAAAACCATGACAAGGACTTTTTTTTTTTTGTTCGTCTTCAATCTTCAATGCTTTCCTTGCAGGAACGCAGCACCCCCTCAAAAGAGCAAGAAAAACAAGAAGCAAACAACTGCATCTGCACATCAGCGACGAGCCGCAGAATAACACACACAGCCACAGCCACAGGAAAAAAAAAAAAAAAAAAAAGTCACGACACGATTGAAAAAAAAAAAAAAAGCATGATGTTTGGCGTTTTGAGTGCGTTGTTGTTGTTGATGTTGTTGATGTTCGGAGCGCGTGCTGCGTGCTGCGTCTCAACTGGACCAAGTTGAGTAGAAATGAAAGCAAAGTAGCTGCAAAAGAAGCGCGACACACGGAAAAAGAAAGCGCAGCAAAACAACAAACAGAAACATTGGGGGAAAAAAAAACGAAAAAAAAAAGAAAAAAAAAAAACAAAAAAAAAAAAACGTACATGAATCGTTTGGACTGATGATACGAGGATGGATCGCGGGAACAAACGGTGGACGAGATGGCTGGCTGTGTTCGGCTAAAGACTTTCACCATTCAGGAAGGAAAGAGAAAGCGGGGAAGAGGCGGGATTGGGGATGGGGGGGGGCGGCTGGAAAGCGAGGGGGAAAGCGAGCGGAAAGCGGGCTGCTGGGTTGAAAGCGGCTTGTAGAAACAGAAAGGGAGCGCAACGCAATGTAACACAAAGATGGATTGATTCTTGGAAAATGACAAGAAGAGATTAGGGGGGAACTAGTCGTCGGGGGTGGGTGCCAACATGCGTGGTGAAACAATCCCAAAATGCACAAAAGGGCTTTGTTTGGCCATCCCGCTCACAGTCTCAGAATCGTCATTTGCACCCGAGCTTCTGAGCACAAAAACCTCGCTTTTGCTTTGCACAAACAACCAGTTCAGTCTACTGTACGTCCTTCCCTTTCTCCCACTTTCAGAAAAACAAAAAAAATGGACACTGAGGCAGACGCGGCAGAGACCGCCGCCAAGCGCATCGCCCAGCTGCTGCAGCGCCCAGAGCAGCTCGACAAGGTATCCGAGCACCGACGACGGCTTCTGCGCGAGAAGGAGAGCGTCGACGCGCGACTGCGAACGGCGCTCCAAACCCAAGTTGATGACATTCGCAGCGGCCTCGAGCTGCTGCACGCGTCCATCCAGAACATCCGGCAGGTGCGTGGCAATCTGGCATCGGTGGACACGCTGTGCAAGTCGAGCCGCGCGCTGGGCTTGGACGCGTCCGAGTTCAAGCAGGTCAACGACGCCCGCAAGACGCTGATCAAGACCCGCAAGAACCTGGACCGCATCTATGTCGTCCCGCAGACGGTCAAGCAGCTCAAGATTGCCATGGATGCAGAGGACTGCAATCTACTGTACATTTACGAGAATCTGTCCGCGCTCGAGTTCATCCGCGACGAGCTGCTCTACCACGCCCGCCACTTGTCGGACGAGCACGAAGCGCTGCAGTGGTACTTTGCCGAGGTCGATACGCTCAGTGATTTGCTGGCCAAGCGTCTCTGGCATCTGCTCGACCAGGGCATGTCGCTCATCAAGACCAAGCCGCAGCTGCTCGTCACCGTCCTGCGCATCGTCGAGCGCGAGGAAAAGGCCGACATCCAAGTGCTCGATCCCGCAGCACCCGTCAAAATCGATCGATCGCGTCGTCCTCGAGGGTACAGAGAGAAGGCGCTCGAGCGGTTGCTGGCCTCGGCCGTCGTGCGCTTTGAGGCGCAGGTTGTCGACGACAAGGAGCACGTCGAGCCTTTTCTCGAGCGTCTCTCCAAGTTCATCTTTGAAGATCTGCTCACCGTCAAGAACGACTTTGTGCCATGCTTCCCTCCTCACTACAACATTTTCAATCTCTACGTGGCCTCGTACAATTCGCATGTCAGCGAAGTGTTGCTCGAGCTTGTCGAGCGCGAGCTCGAGCCTTCCGAGATTCTCGCCATGCTCAACTGGATGCAGGTAAGATTTCGAGGAGCCCCCGGTGCTTTTGATTTCGAGCAGCCCCTCGCGCTTTTGATTTCGTGATTTGATATGCATACTCAATGTTTTTGTTTTCGGTTGGTCTCCATCACCTCCCCCCATGCCATTTCACACAGTCGTACACTGAAAACCTGCAAAAGAAACTGGGAGTCACCGCGCAAGACCCCATGCCCGCAGAAAAGCAGGACTTGCTCATGGAGCGATACACGCGCCTCGTTCGTGAAAAGATGCAAGAGTGGTGCCGCAATATTATCAAGAACGAGCTGCAAGAGTGGATTCACAACCCAGATCGCGAGGGTCCGCCAGACACCGACTCGAAGGGCTTGTACGTGACCGAAGCAACCATCATTCTCTTCCAGATGATTGATCAACAGGTCGCGGTCGCCTTCCGCACGCGGCACGGCAAGTTTATTTTTGAAGTCGTTCAGCTCTGCACGGCCATGCTGCTCGGATTCCAGGACGACTTTGAAAAGGAATTGAACGAGACTACCAATGGCTACTTTGCCGTGACTCCCGAAGAGCGCCCGTCCTTCATGCTCGAGTTTTTGCTGGCGGTGGTCAACAATAGCGTGCAGTGCGGTATCTACGCCGAGCAGCTGCGATCCCGTGTCGAGGAGGACGCCCATCTCGAGGCTCAGTTCCTCTCCGTCTGCCGCAACCAGCTGGCCAATGTCGTGTCTGGCTTTGAGCAACTTGCCGTTGTGGCGCAGGGCCATCTCGTTCGTATCATTTTGGGCGATCTCGATCCCGTGCTTGTCGGGCTGTTTACGCGCAAGTGGTACGAGGCACCTCGCGAGATTGACACGGTGGTCGCCACGCTTGACGACTACGCCAACGATCTTGCCCAGCACATGCACCCAGACTATGTGCCGAAAACACTCGCACTTACGCTCGACCAAGTCATCATTTCGTACGTGCGTGCCATGTTCAACAAGCGCGCCCTCATCAAGTCCGACATTCGTGATTTGATGAAGAAGGATATTGACAAGCTGCAGCAGGTATGTTGTCTGTGTTTTGTGCTTATGTGTGAGTGAGTGAGTGAGTGAGTGAGTGAGTGAGCTTGTGTGTGTTGAATGCTCTGCTCACCGCCCGCCCTTTGCGTTGATTCTCTCGTCGGCTCTCGTAGTTCTTTGCCTCCAAGGTGGCTAGTGTACCGGAACTCAAGCTGCAGGTGGATGTGCGATTGTCGCTGTTGTACGACTTGCGCGAACTGGCGACGGACACCGAGTCCATCATTCCTTCGACCTACTATAAGATTCACACGCGCCATCCGGACTTTAGCCCCGAGCATATGGAAATCATGCTGGCCTGTCGCGATGATTTCGGTCGGTTCCGAGGTGGCGCTGGTGTTTCCAAAGCCATTCGCGAGATGCTCGAAAAGCACGCCAATAAGGCGAAAAAGACTGGCGCGGCGGCCTCCCCCGGTCCCAGCAGCAATCAGCTAGTCGTGTTTAGTCACATTTCAACCAAGCAATGAGCGAGGAAGGGGGGGGGGCCCGGTGTTCGAGTGACGTGCAACAATAAACACAATCGAGTTGTACAAATCGGTTTTCATTCCATTTCTCTCTGACGATTGATTTTGCGACAAACAGGCATCTCTTCTACATACTCTACTACATCATTGTACCACCTATACTTTTTGTGTTGGACTCGAGTGACAAAAGTGAACAAATGCAGCGAATGAACAAAAGCGGAAATCATTCAGCTTTTTTTTTTTTTTTTTTTTTTTTTCCCTCCTCTGGCTTTCGACTCGCAATGACGCAGGTACAACAAAGCGCGAATTCAACACAGACTCATCCACACAAAGTCATCCAAACACGACAATGCATCGTGTCGGGATGTGCTCCGTTGGAGTGACACAATGCAGTTGGGAAAAGTGACACGACGGCGAGCATTGACTGCAGCACGACCGACGACGATGCGCGTGTTCAATGGAAGACTAGCAAGCATTCTCATTGGACTACGAGCTGCTCCTCTGTGTGTGTGTGAGAGAGGGAGAGATAGAGAGAGAGAGAGAGAGATGCTCATTCATTCGCGACGACGATGAATGAACTCGCTCCAACTGGTTGATCTCGGACGGTTGTGCGTACTCACTTGTCTGTTCTCTCGTTCGCTGCTGCTCTTGTACTTTCGCTTGCTTGCCAGGCGCGCGCATTGTACGACTACGAAGGCGGCGAAGGCGAGCTGTCGTTCTTCACCGACAATGTCATCCAAGTCACTGACAAGGTAACAGGACTTACACACATATCGGAGAGCCCATTTTACAACGAATGGGCTTGATGCAAGTCGTACGCACGATCCAGAAAGGGCCGACCAAGCCAACAAAAAAGGCATCGAGGGACTGGATTGGAAAACCCGCCGTTCGTTTGCCCAAACCTTATGTCTCACCTTCGCGGGATCAATCCTCGAAATGTGACACTCACGTCCATCTGGCCTGATATGCGCCCCCCCCAACGTACTGCTGTTATTGATTTGAACAGGGATCGGGCGACGGCTGGTGGATGGGTGTCCTCAATGGCCAGATGGGTTACTTTCCTGAAAGCTACGTGATGGAGGCAAGTTTCTTTTTTATTTTGTTGTTGTTGTTCCGAGCGGGATGTTGTTCTAGCGCTGCGGACAGATCCAGTTGGACCTTTCCTGTTGGAATGGCCACGAAGGAGGACGTGGTGGTGGTGGTGATGGTTCACAATCTGTGCGAGCTCACAAATCGTTCGCTTCGTTTGCAACAACAGCTGCCATCGTCGCCGGCTGCTCGTGCATTGCCATCTCGTGCGCTGCCAGTGCCGACAGCTGCTGCTGCCGCTGATGACGAGGAAAATTGGGATGACGACGACGCAGAGCCTGTGCCTGCAACTCGAGGAGCCACGCGATCGACCTCCAACGCCTCCTCGGCTGGCTATGGCACGGCTGCTCGCCGGGGCACCGTGCGGCGCAACCTCAACCGCTTCAGTGCGTTCGTGAAGACGGGTGGAGAAGCCTTCCTCATGGCCGAGAGCATTGACAAGGTGCCGTCAGACCTGGTCGTTCGTGTTGTTGCCGGTCCCCGTTGGCTGGATGCTCCTCAGTATTTTTCCGTGTCCGTAACCGAGCCCACCAAAAAGAGCAAGTTTCATGGCGTCAAGAGCTTTATTGCATACAATGTGATGCCTTCGGTAAGGCGTATTTTATATTTTGTGTTTTTTTTTTTTTTTTGGATTGTTGGAGTGGTCCGCTTCCGACCGCTCCCCTGCTTGATCTCTCACGGCAATCTGCATTCCCCTTTTTCTAGCACACTGGGGTTGCTGTCAGTCGTCGATACAAGCACTTTGACTGGTTGTACGAGCGACTGACTGAAAAGTTTGCGTCGCTTTCTATTCCTCCACTTCCCGACAAGTCCGCAAGTATGCCGCTCAATCCTTGAACGATGCTACTGTCTGCTTCATTTGCTCACTCTTTGTGATTACTACCCGACTTCAGTGGGTCGGTATGAAGAAGAATTCATCAAACTGCGCCAGCAGCAACTCCAGCGTTGGCTGACGCGGTTGGCGCGCCACCCAGTCATTTCCCAGTGCGAGGCGCTGAACCACTTCTTGACCTGCAATGGCGAAGAGAAGGAGTGGAAGGCGGGCAAGCGCAAGGCCGAGAAGGACGAATGCATTGGCGGGAAATTCTTCATGTGCATTTCTGCTCCAGATGGCAATGTTCCCCCTGACGCGTGAGTATTCTGATGCAATCGATTGCATTGGCAATTCGAGGACTTGATGGCTTACTTGTTGTCTCTGTCGCAGTGACACGCAAGTCGAGTCCTTTGGCAAGTTTGTTCGTGGAATGGAGAGGCGTATGGACAAGGTTCGAGAATGTGGAGAACGATTCTCATCGTTCAGTCAAGGTGAGTGTTGATGTTGTGGTTGCTGCCATCGTTGGAGGACGGGTGGGGAAGCATTTCTTTTGGGTTTCTCACCTCTCACCGCTTTTTTTTTTGTTTTGTAAGACATTAAAACTGAAGTTCAGCGAGTAGGTCATGCATTTGGCGACCTCACCAGTGATGACTGGAAGGATGAAGGCCACCGTGATGGCGTCTGGTGCTGGCGCCAGAACTGCCAAGGTGAGTGGATTTCTTTGTTGTGGTGTTTTCGCATTTCGTGTTACGGGAGCTCACACGTCTCACGTCTCCTTTCGCTTGTTCAGCGTGCACTCCGCTCACCAAGGCCATCGAGTTTACCAGCACAACCCTCAACGAGATTGGACAGTCATTCGCCGATCAGGTACTTGTGTCGTTCTTTTTTTTTTCTTTTGTGCTTGGGGTGTTCCCCGCTTTCTTTCTTCGCTCTGATCAACTCAATGAGCTGCGCTTGTTTGTGGATCAGCCCGCAAAAGACATGACACCCTTGCTTGCCGACACGGCCGAATACCTTGGAATCCTTCCGACCTACCCCTCGATTGTCGACACGCACACCTCGGCGTACAACCGGCTCAAGGAGACGACAAAGCTGCAAGAGCAAGGCAAAGCGGACGGATCGGATGTTGCGGCAGTCCAGCAGCGTTGCGAGGTCATCTCGAACGTGACCTTGTCCGAATTGGACCGCTTCCACACCGAGCGCAATTTCGATACCAAGCTCTCCATGGAGACGTACCTCGCCAGCCAAATCGAGTTTTATCAGCAGATTGTTGGCAAGCTGCAAAATGCCCTGCAAAAGTTCCAAGATATTCCTCAATAGTTGCGACAACCAACCGCAACTATTTTGTTTTCATTGATTATGCATGCTTGTCGTGAACTTGGCACTTATCCGAGGAAAAAAAAAAGGTCGTGACATGTGTGTTCAAAGCGCGATTTATGCAAAAACCCCAGACAAACAAAACCAACCAACAAACAAACAAAACACCTTCCAGCTGACGAGATCAACTCATTTCCATCATTTCAGCTCGAACATCGTCCGATGGAGGAGGCGTATCAGCATCATGCAATTCTTTGGGCGGGACTTTAAATTCAGGGATGGTTGGCGACGGCGAAGAGCCAAACCCTGCAGGCAAAGGAGAGCGGGCGCTGGTGGAAAGTGGCGCTTTGGCGCTGCGCTTGTGGCTGCTGGATGTCAATCCACGTGTGGTGTTGGAAGCCATAGAATGAGTTGCCGCGGGAGCTGGCGAGCCGCTCATGCTGTGCATGTTTGTGGAGGCTGGGCTCGGGTTGGCAGCAGCCCGACTCAAGGCCCAGCAGTAGCTGGAAAGATCCCGGTTAGAGTTGAGAGTGGCCGAGCCCAACGCATTCAGGCTTGCCGATGAGAGGTGTAGGCGGTTGGGAATGGCCTCCAAGCTGCTTGTGGCATCGGTCAGAAGCTGCTGCATCTCGCTCAAGACTGCTGCACCCACATCTGTTGCTGTTGCAACGCGCGGTTCCAAACTCGAAAGAATGCCCTGCAGCAGAATCACTGCTTGCTGCTGCATAAGGATCTCCATACCCACAGCGGAGGTTAAATAGTGCTTGACATCCCGCAACTTTGAACGAGAAACGTTGAGGAGCTGGACGTGGGTTTCGGCAGTGCCATGGATTTGGTCGCCACTGCGCGCCAGTTCCTCAGCCGTTAACAACGAGGCGGTGCCGGTGGCCTCAAGGGAATGGACCTTGGGGACTTGGGTCAGGAATTGACGCAGCAACGGCGCTCCACCTCTTGCCCGCCGCTTCATTACCCAGTACCAGTACACGGCCGTGGCCAACTCGAGAGCAGGAGTCAATTCTAGCGTAGGAGCGACGTCCTCGGCGACAGGGGTGTCAGCAGGATGCGTTGGTTTGGCTGCGTCTGCTGCCATTGGCGAGTCCACAGAGCCAGAGCGGGAGGAGGCCATGCTCTGCTCCACCTCGGCAGGCTGCGGCTGTGGCAGGTCGGAAGCGTCCGCCGGCGCAGTTACAATTGTCGCTTCTGCTGATTCAACGGTTGCCATGGGCGTCACGGATGATGCAGGAATGGTCGTAATGAGCGAAGCAACCTGAGTCGGCGTCACACACGCCCAAAATTCCTTCTCAATGTGCTGCAATCGATGCAAAATGGTGCTCTGCGCTTCGGCATCGAGCGCTTGGTCGCGCTTCTTGGCGTCCTTGCAGCTATCGGGAAAGATGGCAGTCGTGTGCTTTCGACAGTAGGCCACGTAGCTGATATCGCCCGACTTGATGTCCTGAATCTCCATGTGCAGACCCTCGCGCTGCGCACACGTCACGTGGAAGGCCTTCATGCACGTCTTGACCGAGCACTGGATGGGAGCGCCCTGCTTGTTTTGGTAGCAGGTGTCGCAGGGCAACTGCCAGCGATCGCGGGGAATGTTGTCGACCGATTCGACCGGTTCCATCGCGTCGGCGTCTCCAAAGGAGACTTCCGGAATCCACATTGCACAGCTGATATGTGCCAGAGCTGGCCCGTTGGGTCGCAGGCGTGCGGTGATTTTGCTTGGCGCGCAAGGTTTGAGCGCACCTCCTCGGTTTGGGCAGAAAATGCACTTGGCATCTGTCAAAGAATGCGCGCACGGATAGCAAAACCATGCCCCCTCGGGAACGCTTTCGACACCATAGCAAGCTTGATGCACTGCAAGATTGCATCCATCGCAGAAGAGAATGTTATTTCTGAGCAAATCAATCCCCGAAGGAGCAGTTAGTTTTTTTTTTTTGAGTTTTTTTTTTTTTTTTTTTTTTGTTTTAGGTTTTTTCGTTTTGGATCCAGTCTTCCCACCTCGAAAACAAACCCCCACGGAATCCCCACGAAGCTTTCCTTACCCATCCTCGCTATCTCCGCTCAGACAAACATCGCAGACAATGTCGTGATTAAACTCGACGCCGCTATTACGTTCGAGCACGATGCGCCGTTGCATTTCGTGGAAGGTCCTCTTTTCAAGCTCGAAAAATATACGTTCAAAGTCCTGGGTGGAAAGTCGCGGCGGCTCTGGCAAGGCCGCACAGCGCGTGAATTTGGTCAGCGAGGCATGCGGGTCTGGTTGGAGCGTTGGTTGGGCGGCATGAGCTTCTGCCCATGCGGTTTGCAGCGTGCTGTTGATTAAGGCAATCCGTTGTTCGTCCTGCGCATCGATATCGTACAGACATACAGTAGAATGCGGCGAGAGCACATCCAAATCGTCCACAGTGTGACGAATATAATGCAGCGGCCGTTTGAAGGGTGGTCGAGCAGAATCTGTGGTCTTGTCGGAAACCTCTTTGAAGCTTGCCGCAGATATCGTTGCATCGGGGTCGGGAATTTGGATCTTGGTCAAGTTGTACTCGGCAATCCAGTCCTGCACCGTTGCATATGCGCCCTCTGCGTTGAGCAGCGCAGGGTCGTCGACAACCATGCGCGACGCAGGATCAACAAACACTTGCTGGTGCTCGTGCTCCACGGCACGCTCTGGGGCTCGCGTCGTCTCATCAGCCGTGGCAGGGTTGATTTTGCCAGGGGCTGATTTGCTCGAATTGTGACTTGAACGAGTTGCACGTCCTGCCGCGTTGTTTTTGTTGGACGATGTCGCTCGCGAAAGGAGCATGGCATCGAGGCGCCTTGACAGCCCCTCGTACAGCCGCTGCGACTTGCTCGAAGAGTCCCATCGTGAGAATGGCACTGGACGCGATGTCAGCGCGTAAAACTTGCCAAACGCCGATGGTGGTTCATCGTCATGTTCATCCTGCAGAGTGGTCTCATCATCATCATCATCATCATCATGGTCGTCCGCGTCCACTGCGTCCTGTCGGCGGCTTTTGGACCTGCTGCTTGACGAAGCTGTGATCTCTCGGCTGGACTTGCTTCGTGCATCTGGGCTGTCTTGGCTGCGCGCACGCACCGGCAGCGGGTGGAGGCGAGGAGCAAGCGTCGCCATGACGCGGCGGTACGACGGCCGGCGCATGGGATTCGACTCGTCGTCGTCCTCGTCGGCACTGTCGTCCGGTCGCATCAGTTGCTGCTGATGTTGCCGTACGCTTCGTCGTGAAGGTGCGACTGGCGTTGGCGTTGCACTGCCAGCAGCAGCAGCAGCAGCAGCAGTAGCAGACGGCGCTTGCTCGATGCTGCCTGCTTCAGTCTCACTGCCAACACGCGGCTGTTCCGACTGGACGGGCGTGCAAGCAGAGGTCGCTACAGTAGCTCCATCACCCGCCTCAGTGGCTGGCACAACGGGCATCGTGTTGTCCATGCTCGCGCTTGACTGTTCCGCTGAATCCAGATTTCCCGCCAAATTTTGCGTGTTGGGCTCTTCATCGTCGCTGTCAATCCGTCGACGTTTCCTTCGCGTCTCCGCTTCCAGATTGCTTCCAGTGGCAGGCCTCGATACACCAAGCCCGCCCTTGGCTCGTGAATGGGAGTCACTGGCCATTGACAGACAGCCAAAAAGAAGAAAAAGAAGAATAAAACAAGAAAAAAAAAAAAACTGAACTATTTTACGCGCCAAAAATTACACTCAAAATACAACAGCGACTTTGTGTGTTCACGTTGTCCAGACCAGCGCAATTTCAACCCCCCCCCCTAACTGCCAATGCTGTCGCCAACCATCATATCGGTAGACGAGCTTGAGGGAACCACTGGCTCGTCATCCGCAAAAAGAAGCTTGAGATCCTGCATTCGCAAGTCCTGCTGTTCGGATTTGTTCGTGGCCAAGGCATGATTCGCTAAAAACTGCTTGCGGGCCTGAATTTTCAGCATCCGCGTTTCAACAGTGCGCGCTGCAATAAACCGCGTGACAATCACCGGCTTGGTCTGCCCGATGCGATGGACCCGATGCAGCGCTTGATTTTCGACTGCGACATTCCACCACGAGTCCTACACAACAAGCAACAGTTAGCTCCCACACACACACCTCACGTTCCACCAAGCCCCGTGAAGATGATCACATACCATTAAATAAACGTTCGCCGCCGCAGTGAGATTCAACCCGACGCCTCCGCTGAAGAGACTGATAATGATAATTTTGACGGCCGGATCTCGCTGGAAGGCCTCGAGCACCCTTTCTCGCTGTGGCTGGGACAGTGACCCGTCAAGTCGCACATAGACGAAGCCCTGGTGTCGGAACTCGACCTCAATCAAGTCCATCATTGAGGTCCACTGCGAAAATACGACGGCTTTGGCGTCCTGTTCGACCGTCCACAATTCTTTGAGCGCAGCCACCAGCGCAAGAATCTTGGTACTGGCCTTCCACGGTCGGTTTCCCACAAGTTCCGCCCGGCGCATGAACGAGGACGTGCGATTTCGCGTGGCCAGCTGGACGCCAAAGAGCGAGGCACGGTCTCCGTCCCGAGCGGCAGACAGCGTGTCATTCGTATCCGCATCGAGAGTCACAATGCTGCTATTGCTATCGTCGCCAATTTCAGTCAATTGTGCTGAATTGGAAGCTGAAGAAGAATTGGATGTGACTGGTGCAGCAGCCAGATTGGCCGGAGGGCGAGCGACTTGCACCAGCTGTTGCGGTTCAACGGGCTTCCGACAAACCGGACACGAATGCAAGCGAGCGACAGTGTGCTGCATGCAGCCTTTGCATCCGGTATGCAAGCACGGCGTAACCACAATGTCCTCGGGAAAATCCAAGCAGATTGGACATTCCTTCTCTCCAAGGTTGCCATTCACCACGGTTTGCTGCAGTTCGGCAGCGTAGCCCGCTAACGTGGCATTTCCGTCATCAGAAAGAAAGGCCTCGATTAGCTCTTCCACGTTGCCCACCAGCGAAGAGGAAGAGGACGAGGACGAAGAAGAAGAAGAAGAAGACGTCTGCGCGCTCATTGAGCTGCTAACCTGATCTCCAGACACATCCTGATTTCGACGAGCAGTCGAAGAAAGCGCACTGGAGAGTAAAAACGGATGGTCACACGCCTGACGCAAACGCATGAGCAGCTCGAGAATGCCCGCATAGTTTGAAAGCATCCTGCCGGCAGAGCAAAACTCTGAAAACCGTGTCTTGGTCCGCTTGAAGATGGCCATGTAAAACTCCCGCTCGCCAGGGGACAGCTCAAGTTCTACCATCTGCTGTCGCAACGGGGGCAACGAAAGAATCGGATTTCCAGCCCAATCGCGTGTTTTGTGTGTTCGGCGCAGCATGAGCGGCTGGAGCACGCTCTGCAGCACATCAAGGGCCGCGGGATCGCGCTTGTCAAACGGTTTGCCAATCATGGCAGACCAAAACCCAAACGAGCACCAAGGCTCGACCTGGAGGAATTGGATGAGCGAAAAGACGTCTTCGAGCTTGTTCTGGACGGGCGTGCCAGTGAGTGCCCAGCGACGCTCACCGTGCAAGGCTTTGCAAGATATCGATGCTTGGGTGTGTCTCGTCTTGATGGTATGGGCCTCGTCAAGCACAACACGATGGAAGTGGACGTGAAAGAGGGTGAGGAGTGAGCCTCCTGCTGCGCCAGTGCTGGTGCTTTGACTGTTGCTGCTGCTGCTCGAGCGCCACGCCACGAAATCGGCTGCCAATGTGCCGTACGTTGTGAGAATAATCTCGTACGACTGACACAAATCAACCAATGAGCGCGAGCGGCTGCCGCCATAATAGACGAGCACAGCATCGGCCGGGATGGCTGTGTGTGTTTGGATTTCATCGCGCCACTGTCCCAAGAGAGACATTGGGCACACAATCAGAGTGCCTCTTGCACGAGGAAGCTTGAGTGAAGAGTCGGACTCGTCTAACGCTGTTGGCTTGATGCCGATGGATTGGGTGCCAAAAAGGGAAACCATTGGTGATGCTGCTGCTGCTGATGCCGATGCTGATGCCGATGCTGATGCAGCTGCCGAAAATAATGATGAAGATCTTGCGCCTGGAAGTTTGCCGTAAGCCACGCCCGCCGGAGCAGGATTGGACGCAATGAGGGAGAGCATCTCCACCGTTTTTCCAAGTCCCATTTCGTCAGCCAGAATACCCGCCTTGACCTGGGACGATGCATGCGGAAAGTGGACGGACAAGCCACCAGAGACTGGCGACCAGTAGAACACGTCGCCATTCTGGAACTCGCATTCCTGCCACAGCGGGTGGAGGGCAGTCTGCTTCCCATTCCGAGATGCGTCATCCCTGCTCGATGAGCTGCTGCCGTGACTGCCGCTAGCTCCGTCGCTACTGCGCGCTGCAAGCTCTCGCATGAGCATCCAACCCAGCGCTTGCTTTTGGTAAGGCTTGAGCTGCGTCCGGAATGTGTCCACGGGTTCCACCTCTGCCAACCGTGCGTCCAAAGCCTGTGCAGATTGATACACTGTGTCAAGCTCAAACTCGGAGAGCGCGCGCTCGCCGTCTGCCGGTGCACTCGTGTCGGCGCCACGCGTGGCTGGTTTTGCGCTGCCATTCTCCCTCTCCAAAGCGGCATCGATGCTTTGGTCCAAATCCGCCGCCAGAGTGTCCTCTCGGTCGCGCGCCGCAGCAGATTCGGCAGTCGGTGCCGGCGGCACAGAGTGAGAGACAAACGCGGCTGAACGCATTGCCTGCGCATTAAACTCTGACCGTCGTGTTCGAACGTTGAGCGCCTCGAACAAGTGGGCGAGGCACTGCTTCTTCAATAGCGCTCGGCTATCTTCGTCGTCCGTGAGCGCGGCGCTCAAGCCAGTTTGCGGTGGTTTCGAGAAACCTTGTCGCAACCCGTAAATCTGCATTGGTTGTGCTATGTCAGCGACAATTTCACTCACAGGCAAGTCTGAATGATAAACCACAACAAACTCTTGCACCTTAAGTTGTAAAATAACACTGTCCATGGACGTAAGCTTGGGTGGTGCATCGATGCAAGTGCCTATGACGTGAACAATGTTGAAATCGATCAACGGGGCAAGGTACTGGCACACATCGCTTGGCAGCCGACCAATCTACAACGCAGCCAAAAAAAACGCCAGTTGGTCAGCGTCGCAAACATAAAATTAAACAACAAAGACAAGAAAAAAAACCAACTAGCAGCGGAATTGCGAGCTGGTCCAATCCGGCAGAACGTCTTTACCTCAAAGTCATTCACAAGGAAGCGAATCACAGTCGAAGTCTCGGCTTTGCCAGCTCTACCCTTTCCTCGAGAGGCAGCCAGTTGCGGAAATGGCCGACCTTTGGCTGAGCTGGAAGAGCCGTTGGTGGTGGTGGAACTGGCCTCAGCAGCTTTGTTGTCGTCTGGCAGCGCAGCGAGCACTCCTCCCGAGCGCTCTGTGGTGAACTCGGCGCCCGGACAGGCGAGACCGGTACTCGTACGAGTTGCGTACCCAATGCAAACTAGCTCACCCAGGTATTTTGGCCATGCTTCGGTGACAGCGGCGAACTTGGAGGTGTCAAGAGTGTTGATTTCGGAACGCGCGCGCTTTGCCAGAGGAAGCTGAGCTGATGATGCCAGTGAGCTCGCAACGATAGCCCCCGCATCGCACGAGTTGCTCGAATCACCAAGGTCAATGTCGACGTCGCTGTGAATCGATTTGGCGGGAAACGAGGTGGAGGAGCGGCCATTCACATCAGCCTCTTCTGCATCGCCGTCCTTGTCGTCGTCGTCGTCCTCCTGCAAGTCAAATGGACCATTTGTCTGCATTGCAATTGTGCCATCATGCAACACCGGAGAGATGGCAGCGGCGGCGGCGGCGTCGCCGTCCAGTTCAGCCATGCTTGCACTGCGCTTGCCGGTCGGCAGAGTCGCACGAGACGACGACTGAGCAGCCGGCTTTGACTTTGATGCACCGACAATCTTCAGCCATCCCGACGAGACTGCCGGTGACGCGGCGCGCGGCTGGTCGACCGCTGGAGCACTCGGGGCAGCAGCGACCAGCAGCGCTTGCCCGTTGCTCGCAAAGTAGCGGTCGGCAGCGCGATCCACGTCACCGCCGCAGCGTGCAACCAGCGCAGCCACTGCTTGGAGCTTGTCTTGGCCAAGTCCGAGAATGGCCAGCAGCGCTGTGGAGGCAGCAGCGGCATCGCCAGCAGTGCTCATGGGGTTTGGTCTGAGCGATCAAGCAAGGAGGGATTCAGCTCTGGGCGCACCTGGGAGAGTGAGCAATGAATGGTGACAAGCACGATTTATTTGACAGGGCAGAAAAATACAGAATTGGCAGTATCAAGATGTGAAAGAGATGCAGAGTGCAAATTGTACGACTTGCCGAATATTCGGAGGAGTCGAACGAAGCACACGGCCGTCAAAGCGAGCTGATGGCGTTAAAGTCGGAAGTGTGGCCGAAAGTAACGGCTCTGTCTCCAGAGATCCTGGCAGAGCAATCCTCAGAGTGAATTCAGGTGCCCGATCGTTGGACAGAACTGGGAAGCTGACTCCTTGTTGAGGACCCGAATGAGCTCACTTTTCAACTGCACAGCCGTATAGGAGGCGGAATCATTCAGCCCATGCGAGCTTCGGAGAAACCGCACAAGATCGTCACGCTGCCATTGCACAAAGTTGTTCAAGACTGTGTCTCGAACCCAGTCGGACGCAAAGATCATGCGACCTCGCAAGAAGGACTGATGCGCGCGGCCGTCCGAGTCATGCCACAGTGCGGGAAGAACCTCGATGTGCAGCACGGGGTCAAAGACAATCAGTTCATTCACTGGCTGACCTAGGGACAAGAGAGTCCGCAACGAAAGGGATCGGATGGCACGATCAAGGTCGTTCAGCCAATCGATCTCGTCCGAGCCGAAAACCGCTCCCAATACTACGCGGGCAATCCCACCCCAATGTCGGAATCGTTCATTCGCGGAATGCATTGCGGATAGGATTCGAGCACTGTCCGCATTTTCTCGACGAAGAGAGTGCCGCAAGCAGCACGACAGCTCGTTCCAGGACCACACAGGCATGTAAAGTTTGGAAGCATATTCCTTTAACAGTTTCTTGTCAAAATTGCTGCAGGGAGAGGTGACGAGCAGGGTGCGCGCGTTGCCATAAAATGTTGGTGTGTGTCCGTCTGCAATGAACCAGACATCGTCGCGACGATTCCGAAAACACTCATCCACAAAGTTGTCGTTTGGAGAGTAAACTCCACTAAGGACTGTTCCGTCATTTTGAAGGAGGTATCTGTTCTTGGCTGGCATCTCTGCCGGCTCGTAAACCACAGTCAGCTGGGGATTTTGCTGAAGCAGACGATAGATAAAGTAGCCCGAGAAGAACGTCTTGCCGATGGCAGGATTGCCGGTGACAACCCAACGAAGCTGCGTTGCAAACTTCGGCGCCGTGATCTGGTCGAACAACCCAGAGTAGCAGTCGCGAACCATGAGGTCTGATCCCAATTCAGGCCGTCCAAGCCAGAACACGCCCTCAGGCAGAGTCAAGAGGTGGATGTCGACCAAGTTGGCGACCCGGCTCGGAACACGATCCATCTGAAGCGGCTGTCTGGCGGCAGGATCCACCTCGACCATCTGGTTCGTATCGAAATTCAGTCGCACCACCTGCTGGGTCACTTGACCGGCGTGAAGAGCTTGCCAAAATCTGACAAGCAAGTTGTGATCGGGCACTGCCAAACAATCGAGAGATCCAAAGTGAGAATTCTTCCTTCAGCACACGCATCTCAATAGAATGGATGACATACATTGACTCGGGGCTGGGGCTGGGGTCAGGGCGAACAGCCGTTGGCGAGTTGCTTCGAGATCAGCGGTCGTGTTGATTCCAATCTGAAGTTGCAGCGCTTGTTGCTGGCGTCGTGTTGCTGTCTCGGCATCTCCAGCGTCACGGACGGCTGCAGCATCCCGGGTTTGCAGCTCCTGTTGTGCAGTTCGGTCGGCTGCCAGAGTTGTCTCCAGTCGTTGGATCGGAGCGAGCAAGACTCGTCGCTCATTCTCTGGTTGCTCCAGGCGAGGTCGCTGAATGTCATCAGGTTGGCGGTCTTGAGTGGGCGAGGCAGGTCGGACGGCACCATGAAGTTGCTGCTGTTGGTCGCTTGAAGCTGTGTGGCGGGACAGGTTGAGATCTGCCATTTTTGGAAGACAAAACAAAAGTTTTAAACAGCAAAAAACAGAGAGAGAGAGAGAGAGAGAGAGAGAGACAGAGAGAG